TTGTTCATTGCTATTCACCCGTTGTCCCATTGTCTGTTTCATGGTACGATGACGGGATCTCTGAGCCTGGCCTCCTCCATCTACACCTGCGGACTGCCCCGCCCGACCCGCCTGGGAGTGCTTCGGTCCTGCACCGGACCTGTCCACGTTCAGCGGCCACTGGTCCACGTTCTGTAGCTAGCTTAGGTCCTGGATCATTAGCCTGTCCGTCCGGAGGAGCGGATCCCTTTCTCATATGGGTCTCCCTCCCTGTGGGTTTCCCTAGTGCTCCCCAAGGTTTCTCACTTTTTCCCACTGGGTTTTTTAAGAGTTTTTCCTTGTCGATGCAGGAGGGTCTTGTTGGACAGTTAGTGTCCAACAGAAAGGATTGGTGATGATCAGGACACTTTAGCATTCTACAACATGTATGGACATTTTCTTCTGTGTGTGCTTTATATTCTTCATGTGTTTTAACTGTTGATTCTCTGACCTGTGTTGGTGATTTCAATGGTTTTGTTAAGTCCTCTGAGATGACTTCTGTTGTGACCTAGGGCTATACAAGAATAAATTGTATTGTATTGTATTGTATTGTATTGTACATCTCAGTCAAAACCCTTGGATGAACGCGGAAGTGAAACTGAAACTTCATGAGCGTGCTCTGGCGTTTCAATCTAACGATACAGTTGCCTATAAGCTATTCTGTTATGCATTGAAACGTTCTATTAAATCTGCAAAGCGCAGTTACGGGGACAGGTTAAAGGGTTATTTTAAGGAAGATGACCCTCGGCGCATGTGGAGCGGTATTAAAGCCATCACGTCCTGGAAACCTAGTGCTGGGAAAATCGGATCTGTTGGCCCAGCTCTGCCTAATGAGCTGAACACGTTCTACTGTCGCTTTGAATCCGCTGATGGCTGTCCTACTGTCTTTCCTGATTGTCTCAATCAAGGTGCGTTCACCGTGACTCAGGAGGCAGTCCAGTGGGTCTTGTCCAGCACCATTGTCCGGAAAGCCCCTGGCCCGGACGGCATCCCACCCCGTGTCCTGAAACTGTGCTCTGAGAAACTTGCCCCTGTTTTAACAGACATTTTTAACCTGTCGCTAAGGAACTGTACTGTGCCGAACTGCTTCAAAGAGTCGACCATTATCCCAGTTCCTAAGAAAACTCCTGTGACATGCCTTAATGACTATCGTCCTGTGGCCCTCACTTCTGTCCTAATGAAGACTTTTGAGCGGCTTGTGCTGGACTTCATTAAGAGCCAGATCCCTGTGAGTGTTGACCCGCTTCAGTTTGCTACAGACAGAACAGGAGTGTGGAGGATGCCATCTCCTTTGCTCTGAACTCTGTCTACAGTCACTTGGACACTAGTAAATCTGTGGCGAGAATGCTGTTCATTGATTATAGCTCTTGCTTGTCTTGTCCCAGGTATACTGATTGAAAAACTCATGTCTCTCGGCTTAAGTGTTGCCATGTGTAAATGGATCTATAGCTTTTTAACAGACAGATCTCAGAGAGTGAAAATCAATGACTGTTTTTCAGATGTTGTTTCTGTGAGCACTGGTTCTCCTCAGGGATGTATTTTGAGTCCTCTACTTTTTTACACTGTACACTCATGATTGTGTGTCTTCCTCAGACTCTAACCTGATCCTTAAATATGCTGATGACACCACCATCATCGGTCTCATCAGTAATAACGATGAATCGTCTTATAGAGCCGAGATCCAAAACGTGGTTCAGTGGAGTAAGGCTAACAACCTCCAGCTGAACGCATCCAAAACATGTGAACTGGTCTTTGATTTTAGTCGCAATAGTTCTCATTTGCCTGTCGTAATCGATAACTCCCAAGTGCAGATTGTAGAGGAGTGTAAGTTTCTGGGTCTAACTCTGTCTAACCTGAAATGGGTTAAAAACACTGACCGGGTCGTAAAGAAAGCTCGTCAGCGTCTCTACTTCCTGCGGAAACTTAGAGAATTTACCACTAACTCTAAGATTCTGCTGAACTTTTATCGCTGCACCATTGAGAGTTTACTTGTTGGTTCTGTGTCTGTGTGGTTCGGTAACATCACAGATAAAGAAAAGAGAGCTTTAAACAAGGTGCTCCGCTCTGCTAAGAGGACCGTGGGCTGTGAGCTTCCTGTCCTGGAGGCTCTTTATCAATCCAGACTTTTTAACAGTGCCCTGAGAATTATCAATGACTCTTCTGGCCACCCAGGAAAAGCCTTGTTCCAGCTTCTTCCCTCTGGCAGAAGATACTGTTCTCTGAGATGCAGGACATCTCGTTATGCTAATAGTTTTTTTCCACGAGCTTTTATCAGTTTGAATAGAGCACTTTAATGTTTTTGCACTTGTATAGATCTGTTTTAAGTTGGTCAACTTCACAGTGACATTTGTTTACTGTTTTTAAAATGTGTTTTATTTTTGTCTTTTAATGTTGTTTTGTGTCTGTACTTGTCCTGTGCACACTGGGAACTTTTACTAATGTATTCCAATGTAGTGTTACTCCAAATGGCGAATAAAATGAATCTGAATCTGAATCTTCTTAAAGGCGCTGTACCCGTTTCTGCAAGGTTTTAATGTTTAGCACCGCCCCCAACTCGCTCAATGGCTTCTCATTTCCCCTACGCTCTCATAACACAGAGCCATCTAGTTCATTTTGCGATCTGACATGTATGCTAACATTAGCATTAGCACAACTTCTTGTAAGCTGTACAACAATCACTGATGAAAGGGTACTGCTAACACAATATATAGGTAAAACAATACTGCTAGTTTCGCATCCAAATTTATTCATGAAAACATTGGAATATATTCTAATATTTATTTATAATTAATATACAGCTCCTCACAGCAGCAGCAGAACACTCCATTGACTTGAATGTAATTCTACCGATCTTTTTTTTCTTGATATCAGAACTCTCAAACCAATAATGGCCGCTGCCCTTTGACAATGCACTCTGTTTCTAATTCAGGTGTGTAAAATACTGCCATTACTCCGCAAGTACAACGAGAGAAGCTAGCGGAGCTAGCCACGCTGAATAAACAACTACCATCTGCCATTAAACGTTAATCGGACAATACAGTATACATATACATCCTTAACACACATGCACGGACGATTTCAGAATTTCTTGTTATCGTTTTCATGACAAAATTACTATTTTAATGTGACAAAAAGCGATCACGAAAAACCCGGAAGTAACCATTAACATGTAGCTAGTTCCAGGGAGCTAGCTAGCTTAACTGTTACCTGCCTAGCACGTCCCGGTGGAACCTTTGGGAGCTAACTATTTTATTTGCAGTTATTGAATACATTTCAAATTGTAATGTGTTCGAAAATAAAATAAAATAATATATATTAATATATATATATAATTACGCTCAGACTCTACTCAGCACTTTTCAGTTTGTAATTCTTACACTGCTGAATCAATTACAAGTTTTCAATTAAATTACGTAATATCATACAACTTTTATGTAGTAAAAAGCATTTTTATAAACTACTTAGAAAAAAAATCGGGTATAGCTTCTTTAACAAATCATCTTGTCCTTGCTCTACAAATGGGTCATGTAATATTTGGTCAGAATTTGGAATGCCCCCTGGTGTTTTGTTTATGACTACGTCCATCAGTGATTTAAGGGCATGAGAAAATTCTGTCAAAGGCTCCCCCTCTCTCTGACTGCGTTGAAACATTTGAAGCTGAGCAACCACATAGGACTGGGAACAACTATAGTTTTCTGTAAGAATGACATTTTTTCTGCAGTATCCCTTTCCCCTGAACTATGAAAATCAAGCTCTGCTTTAGCGCTCCCCTCCAGGTGATCATTGTCTAAAAATAGACTTGGACGTGTCTTTTATTTGATACAGAAATGAGAGGCAAGATTCCAAAAGTTAAATATTTTATCTTCATAATTAAATACAAAACTCAAAAAGCTCCTAGCTAACCCTGATCTAATCCTATGAGCTGAGCTTAAAGTAACTGTCCCTAAACTATGAGAAAGAGGTCAACCAGGCGCTCTGCGATGACCTCTGTATCTGACCCTGCTCAGACTGACTCACATTATTCACATATCATATCATTAAAATGTGCAGAAGCGGGCGTGGCTTTGTCAGGCAACGTCAGTCCAGGTCTCAGTCTCGGGTCCTGGTCCTTTTCGTCACATCATCACTTTTCTGAAAAACACTTCGGAGAAACAGGAAGCAAAAGTGCCATATTTTGTCTGTCATCAATTTAAACTCTTGACATTTTAGTTTCTGTCTTGTGACCGTCTGTGTTTTGCACAAACTCATTTGACCTCAGAGACTTTTGATATAAAACTATACAATTTCATGATTACAAATATAATTTCACAATTTAATAAATGATGACACATCATACAAAAAAAGAATCTGTTCAGCATTTGACATGTCTGTGATGCACCTGCGGGCCTCTTCTATCCATTATTCAACAGTTATCAAATCAACAGACAATTTACCAGAAAACGTTGTGCATTGACGTTCTCTTGGCACATATAGAAGTTGGCTTGGTACAGTCACTGAAGGGAAAGTGACATTTGGTGTTGAAGCAGAGCCACCTCTGCCACTCGACGGTCCTGCTTGTGGCTCGGTGCTTTGTTGCGCCATCTGTACCCTTAACTGTTCATTTTCAGCCTGAAGCTGTTGTACCTGGGTTAAAATGGTCTGAATGTCCATGTTTTCAAACAGTCTCTGGTGATGATGGCGTCCCGAAGACCGTCCCGTTGATCTGATTGAAGTTGACTGGCCGGCCACTGTTTTTCTCCCTGTTAACCTACTTGGGCTACTAATACTACAAAAGTGAGTCTCAATTTTAAATCCTAAGCCAGCAACGCCAAGTGTGACCAAGCATTGTAATATAACAATTAAACTAAGGAGACTCATTGTCAGTACAACAGCAATATTTATTTCATAGGAGTATTAAAAGTAATATATTCAAATGGTTAAAAATCATCAATTCAAGTTAAGTTTAAAACCATGCAGTGCAATGTTAGTTTCACAGCAAGACCATGCAAGAGGGGTGAGATCAAATGCAAATTATTTTAGCCCAATATATAAATAAACAGTTATGGGATAAAACAGTGGCCAGCTTGAAGTGTCGTGTTTGGATTCACCGTAACAAGAACAATATTTAAGAACAGTCACAGAAACATTTATAGTTAGCTCTAGCACAAAAAATAGTTTACCTGAAACAGTGTAAAAGTTGCTTCTTTCCAGACACGCAGGATAAAGAGGCCTGCAGGTAACTTAACCTATGGTCAAAGATTGTATTTGTTAATACACAGAATAACCTATTTATCAATAACAGTTTATTCACCTTTGACTCTCCAGACACCCCTCCCAAACATGGCTAAAACCACATGAAGCTGTGGACTCTCCTCGTGGCTTACTTCACCCACAGGGAGAGTTGTGTGATTATCTACACACTATATACAATTCATGTGCTGTATTCACCTTTTAAGACTGCGCTGTTCCCCCTGGCTCAGCTGCCCTCATGCTCACTGCATGGAGTGGAGTGAAAGGCCCTGATTTCCCTCTCTCTCCATTTTGAAACCTTTGCCCCTCCCACCATTTCCTGTTTCCTGTTGCCCTGTCACACAAAAAACACAACATGAGATTAGGATCTGAACCATCTGCAATATGAGCATTCACTGTACCACAAGTTAGAGTTATAGTTAGAGATAGAGATAGAGTTAGAGATCTGTGTTATTGAGCTTGGTCCAGACACTACACCTCCCTCAGCGTCTTCTCCTCCTTCTACACCTCCCTCGGCATCTTCTCCTCCTTCTACACCTCCCTCGGCATCTTCTCCTCCTTCTACACCTCCCTCGGCATCTTCTCCTCCTTTTACACCTCCCTCAGCATCTTCTCCTTCTACACCTCCCTCAGCATCTTCTCCTCCTTCTACACCTCCCTCAGCATCTTCTCCTCCTTCTACACCACCCTCGGCATCTTCTCCTCCTTCTACACCTCCCTCGGCGTCTTCTCCTCCTTCTACACCTCCCTCAGCTTCTTCTCCTCCTTCTACACCTCCCTCAGCATCTTCTACTCCTTCTACATCTCCCTCAGCATCTTCTCCTTCTACACCTCCCTCAGCTTCTTCTCCTCCTTCTACACCTCCCTCAGCTTCTTCTCCTCCTTCTACACCTCCCTCAGCATCTTCTCCTCCTTCTACACCTCCCTCAGCATCTTCTCCTCCTTCTACACCTCCCTCGGCATCTTCTCCTCCTTCTACACCTCCCTCAGCATCTTCTCCTCCTTCTACACCTCCCTCAGCATCTTCTCCTCCTTCTACATCTTTTCAGTGACGTAAATCTGTCGTACAATATTGGTCCAGTCCTCAGTTGTGCCTCTCAGGTTTGAGCCATTTTATGGTTTCTTTGCAGCTAAAAGAAAATAGAGCAATTTCTTGACGTTCCAGTGAAATCTGCCTAATGCCCCAGATTTACATTTTCTAGATTTATATTTTCAAATGACAGGGGAAAATCTCAGAATAACTTCCGAGCAGTATTACTGAATAACTTTACATTCCCAAAATATGGTGGCTTGCTCCAGTTTGGTCACATCTCCAACCAGCGTCACCCCCTGGTACTTGTTCTGAGATGGTGTGATAAAAAACACATGGTGTTCTTCCAACAGAAGAACGTAAACGTTTGACCCGGTTGAGATCCATGATATTCTGCAGATGTTTTCCCATCATCCTCTGATATCAACCTCTGCTTCCTTTTCCCATTTCTCTTTCACATAATGTGTGCTCCCGCCTCTGCTCAGCAGGAGACCGTTATAAAGCTTTCAGATGATTTTGGGTTTATGGACTTGGTTGCAGACATAAATACCTGTAGGAACCCATGATCACCTGAAAGTATGTTGATGTTTTCATTGAAATAGTGTCTGACCTGTAGGTATCTAAAGAAATCTTCTGAGTCCAGCCCATGTTTTTGCTTTAATGTTTAAAATGTTGAAACTCTCCCTTGTGGACAAAAGAGTTAAAGCCTGTCAGAGCTTTTGAAATCCAAACTTTAAATCTACTGTCCATTTGATTTGGGCCAAACTCAGAGTCATAAGCGCACCATTTCAAGAGCCGAGAATCCTTCTCCAAGTGACATCATTTAATTGAAGTGCCTTGTAGATGGGGGAGCACATGCATACGAGGGGTCTGGGCAGCATCAAAGTTTGCTTTTAAACAGCAAACTTTAACTCTAGTGTCTTATATTTCACTCTAGGTTTCTTTCCGTTCCATATGTACCTTTTATGAATCTGTCCCACTCTGCAAACTGCTGATCTGGGATAGGACTTGGTAAGCATTGGAATATAGCATCCGAGGGAGGACGATCATACTAATGGATTCAATTCTAGAGTGTAAGTCTAAAAATGGTTTAGTATTCCATCTTTGTAAATCAGATTTCAATGTATTATTTAGAGGCCGTAGTTTACATCGAACATCTGTGTGTAATCTTTATGCAAAACTATTCCAAGGTAACGGAGGAAGTCCATTTACAGCAGTCTTTAATCCTTTGTGGGGGGTCATCATTTAGAGTTAGAATGTGACTTTTGTTTATGTTGACTTTATACCCTGAGAATGTGCCGTATTCTTCAAGTGTCTTCATTATTATGGAAGAGTTTGTGTCGGTTGGGATAAAGTCAGTGACAAATCATGGGCAAAAAAAGGCAGTTTTTGCTCTTCCCCTGCATCCCTTGAATATCATGTCTTTGTCTGATCCATCGGCCGAGGGGCTCAGTGTATAGAGCACATAACAGCGCTGATTACAACCCTGCCTAGTCCCCCTCTCTGGCTCAATACACTCTGTCACATTCCCATTCATTTTTATTCTAGATATTGGTTTCTTATACAGTGCTGATAATGTCTCAGTTATTGATTCATAAAAGCCACATTTTTAGAGAAGCGTGTATAAAAAGGTCCACCTGACAGAGTCTAGGCTAATAACCCGTGTCTGTAGTTTATGTTGGGCTTCCTGCTGCAGGACGTGGAGCACTCTTCTGATTCTGTCTTGTGTCTCTGTTTGATGAAGTCTGATCTTTATGTATTAGTGGAGGTCAAAGGTTTTCCAGTCGTTTTGCTAATATGGATGTAAACAATATGTAGTTAATGTTCAGTGCACTAATGGGTCGATAATTACTACATTCCAAGCGGTCCTTTCCTTCTTTTGGGATGATGGAGATGATGGCCTCCTTCCATGAGGGTGGAGTGCTCTTCCTTTCCATGGCCCAGTTGAAAGTCTTCATTAAAGGAATAGGCCCCGTGTTTACAGACTGACACATGTTCTTACCTTAGACTGATATGTACCTGTCTGGTCTGTGTCCGTGTGCTCTGTCATGCAAACACAGCACAAACACAGCCTCTTCCACAGACTGTATAGTTCCAAATCAGCTCCTGTTAGAAGCTCCCAAACTCTTCCACGTGTTCCCTATTTAAATACAGTTACGTGACGTGTTACTCTACAAAGTATAGTAACACAGAAATGTAACATGTCCATTTTCTCAGAGGATAAAAAGAGGAACTATATTGTGAGGCGTAATAATACGAGGAGTGCTTCGTCCGTGCACTAACTCCAAAGACTTCTCTCCCGCTCACTTCCGTCAATAGAAGCAGCGTGACTTGAGAGAAGTCTCTGGAGTTAGTTAAATACATTTGATTGAACAGAGCATGAGGACTATGACCCAGAGAAAGACATGGATCCAGACAGAACTTTTTTTTCTAATGTGAATGTGAATTGTAAATATTACTCTGATGATGATTATAACTCTATGGATACATTGAATGACTTATCAATGATACATTTCAACAGTAGGAGCATGAACACTTTAGTAGCATCAAAGAATATCTTGATACATTTAGAGTCCCTTTTAGTATCATAACATTATCAGAAACATGGCTGAACGACCAAAAAGGGACAGATTTTGACTCGGAAGGCTATGAAGTCAACTACAGAAATAGGAAAAACAAAACAGGAGGAGGTGTGGCTATTTATGTAAACAAGAAGTGAATATTTAAAATGGTTGAAAATATGTGTGTTACAGTTGATGGGCTATTTGAATGTATAACTATTGAGCTAATCTGCCAAAGCAAAACAAATATAATAGTAAGCTGCCTATACAGAACACCAGGTTCAAGTATAGAACATTTGATGGTGCACATAGAACAAATAAATCAATGTATATTACAGGAGATTACAACATAGATCTCATGAATCCCAATAAACATCAAAACACGGATGAATTTATGAACCTTATGTATAGTATGAGCTTATTTCCTGCAATCACCAGGCCGAGTAGAATCACTTCACAGAGTGCTCCTCTCATCCATAATATCTTCACAAATGACATTGATTTATTGAAATGAAGTGGACTAATGATATGTGATATAACTGACCATCTACCTGTTTTTACTTTATGTCACCATAAGAATATGAAGAGCACAAACACTCAGAATGACGTATACAAAAGAGTGCTATCTGAAAGTACTATTGAATCATTGAAATGTGACTTGTCAATTCTAAACTGGAGTGGTGTAGTAAGTGAAAGGAATGTTGACCAAGCTTAGAACATGTTTCTTCATATATTTTGGAACCTTTATAATCAAAATTGCCCTGTGAGTAATGTCCCTGTGAGAAGACCAGGGGATTACAAAATGCTTGTAGAAACAATAATCATTTGTATAAACAGTTCTTTTTTTTTGTAATTTTCTTTTTATTGTCTCATTTTTTTTAATCACATTTCGGCCACATTTTGTCACATTTTTGTCACGTTGTCTTCACATTTTCATCACATTGTCGTCACATTTTCGTCACGCTATAGTCACATTTTTGTCACATTACGGTCCTATCTTTATCAAATTTTTGTCACATTGTAGTCACATCTTTGTCACCTTATGGTCACATCTTTGTCACATTTTTGTTACGTTATCGTCACCTTGTCGTCCTATTATGGTCACATCTTTGACACATTTTTTGTTACATTGTCGTCACATTTTTGTCACTTTATCGTCACATTTTTTGTTACATTGTCGTCACATTTGTCACTTTATCGTCAAATTTTTCGTCACATTGTCGTCATATTTTGGCCACATTTGTCACTTTTTCATCTCGTTTTTATCACTCTTATTTTTTTCCTTTCCCCCGTGTGTACCTACACCCAGTAAAACAAGAGAAAAATAAAAACAAAGACAAAGAATAAAAAATAAGATAAAACACGAACGTAGTTAAATAATAAGAAACAATCACAAAAGACAAAAAAAGAAAAGAAACTTTTTGTGGGGTGATTACATTTACATTGTCTCCAACATTGAGGGTCGCCACAGGTCCTCAAATTCTTTCATTTTGTTCTTTAACCTTGCAGTTACTTTTTCCATATTTAACACATCTTTCATTCTGTCCCACCATTGCTTTGCACGAGGTGGTTGTGGTTCAAGCCAGCAGACTGTAATAATTTTTTGCTATTATAATTAACATCCTAATAATCTTCCTTATTTTTATTGGAATATTTTGGGGGATAATACCCAACAAAAACAATTGTACGTCTAAATCAATTTTTACATTAACGATTCTTTCTATCTGTTTTTTTACATTTTCCCAGTATTCTTTGAGTTTAGGGCAGTCCCAGAATATGTGTGTATAGTCTCCTACTTGGCCACAACCCCTCCAGCACTTATCAGACATTTTACTGTATTTTGAAATATGCAATGGTACCAGGAAATATCGCATTTTTACTTTCCATTCAAACTCTTTCCATAGCATACTACTAATAATTTGATGTCCTCCTTTGAATGATTCCTCCCAATTTTCATTTGAAATTACGATATTTCTTTCAGTTTCCCATCTATACTTGGTGTCCACATTATTGTTCAGCCTGCAGGGCTTTATAGAACTTTGAAATTATCTTTTTATTCTCTAACTTAGTCATCAGTAATTTCTCTATTCCATTTTCTTGTTTACATATATACTCCCATTCTTTATGTTTTATAAGGTAGTTTCTTATTTGTAGAAATTTGTAAAATTCATGTGTTGATAGATTAAATTCGTCTTTAAGCTGCTGAAATGATTTCATATTTTCCCCTTCAAACAGCTGCCCAATATGGACAAGTCCCTTGGATTCCCACTTTTGAAATCCCATCTCCATATTTGAGGGTATAAAATCACAAATTTTTCCTATTCTAGTGGCCCTGCAGATTGAACTAGACATTTCCATTTTCTTTTTTATCCCCATCCATATTTCCATTGTTCCTTTAACCCATTCATTTTTTATTTTCAACTGTTTTAGATTTTTCTTTCTAATGAAGGGTAGGCTTTGTAATTC